GGAAATGATAAAGACTTTAAAGTAGGGGTCTCAAACTCGCGGCCCGCGGGCCAAATGCGGCCCCCGGGACGATAATTTGCGGCCCGTCTTGATATTAAAGATTAATGTTAATGCGGCCCGCAAGATTGATATGAATAAAACTTGTTGTATGCGGAGCTGAATGAACCAATCACGGTGGGGTAAAAGGCTCTGAAGGGTGGTATATCGGCCATGCTGTCCAGTGCCTCGCTCATTCACTCATTCATTCCTCCAGTCAGCTTGAGAACATTGGAATGTTTTATTTTGCTTTTCTTGGGGAAATCCTGATGCGGCCCAGCCTCACCCAGACTCTGCCTCCAGCGGCCCCCGGGTAAATTGAGTTTGAGACCCCTGCTTTAAAGGGAACTGCATTAGAGGAGATGGTGAAGTTGTGTCAACACATTTATATGGAAGGAAAATGGCCAGAAGATTTTGTCAAAATAGTAATGGTTCCATTAGAGAAACCATCAGCAAGGAAATGTCAAGACCACAGAACGATTAGTTTAATATCACATGCCTCAAAGATAGTGCTGAAGATACTGAATAGCAGAATAGAAAACAAAATAAAAGAAGTAATAGGACATGATCAGTTCGGATTCATAAAAGGGCGTGGAACAGCTGGGTTAAGAATTTTGGCAGAACGTAGCATAGAACATAATCAAGAGTTGTATGTATCCTTTGTGGATTTTGAGAAAGCGTTTGACAGAGTGAACTGGAGAAAGTTAATGGACATCCTTAAGAATATTGGTGTGGATTGGAGAGATAGAAGATTGATAAGTGAGCTATACATGCAGCAAACTGCAACAGTACGAACCAAAGATGGAGAGTCAGAACCAGCAGTAATTGGTAGAGGAGTACGTCAGGGCTGCCTGTTGTCACCTTCTCTGTTTAATGTGTTCGCAGAAGAAATGGTTAGAAGATCATTGGAGGATTGCAAAGAAGGGGTAAAAGTAGGAGGACAATTAGTAAATGCGGTGCGATTTGCAGATGATCAAGCTATGGTAGCAAACTCAGTGGAAGGATTACAAGAAATAATGGACCGTTTAAACACAGTAGTTGAAGAGTTTGGAATGCGAATTAACGTAAAGAAAACGAAAGTGATGAAGGTTAGTAAGAACGGCGAAGGAAATGTTACAATCAAATTAAATGGTGAAAATCTGGAACAGGTCAAGAGTTTTAAATACCTAGGAAGCATATTAACGAGTAATGCTTATTGTAGTACAGAGATAAGATCACGGATTATGTTAACAAAAACTGCATTCAACGCGAGAAGAGAACTTCTCACAACGAGGTTCAACCGTAAAATAAAGAAGCAGATGGTTAAGACCTTAGTGTGGAGTGTTTTGTTGTATGGATCAGAGACCTGGACGTTGAAAATCAAGAGATTGGAAGGAGCAGAGATGTGGTTTTGGAGAAGAATGGAGAAGATAAGCTGGAAAGAAAGGGTGACAAATGAGGAAGTCTTAAGACGAATTGGAGAGAGTAGAACATTGATCTCAACCATCTTTACATGTCAGAAGAAATGGACATTCTCCATACCTCGACAGGAGCCCAGCTTGCATCCACTCACCTTGTAGCTAATAAAGCCAAAAGCCAAGGCCACTTTCATTATCCGCCTTAAGTCCATCTCTGGTGTCGCTTGTTATAGATGGACTAATTAGTGGCATTAATAAGTTTATTTGAATGTTACTCGTTGGTATATACATTTTCATTTCGGTATTCTTTATATAATTAAAGTCTATTAGGTGTTGATGACCCGGCAGAATGTTTAAACATGCACCTAGTAAAAGGTTTCGGAATCCGAACCGACCTTGGTTCAGGTGGCTGACTCGAGCTCACTCCTTGGCTGACTCGGACCGCACCGCCACCTGGCTTTTACTCAGCCACTCCGCCATATTGTTCAGCTCGAGTTTTGTGTCTCTGCCTGTGGTCACTCTCGGCTAAGTATATTATATTGTGTTTTACATATATTAGGATGTTTAGGTTAGGATTCTGTTTGGTTTTTCTCATCTATATATAATGTATTTTAAATGTACATAAAAGAAATAGTAAATATAGTTATTTTGTTCATCCATGTGTTTACATTTTACCCGGACAAAAGTTTGAACTTGATATGGTCACCCGATAATACCCTAGACTTCATATGTGCCATAACAAATGGGGGCCTGACCGGGATAATCAGTGAATATAGTGATACGGTAAATATAGTTAATGGCATAGTGCATATTATACGTGAAACAGTGAATATTGTCAAAAAATTCTTGCCACTTATTATATTTTATAGTTCATATATTTTATAGTTCGAATGATGTCTGTATTTAGTAATGGAGATCAGTGCTGTCAGCATGATTGAGCAGACTTGTATCACAGTGACTTATTCATCGTAAGATTTTGATGTTGCGTAACGTACTTGGTAAGTTATTTTGAAGTTGCTTTGTGTTTAACATGGCTCCGTTTAATATAAATGATTTCATATCTGAACCTTCTCTTGATTTATTGGTGAATACTACTCTTAAAAAAGACGATTGGAAGGCACTTGCTGGTCATTATGAAATTGAAATTAGAGCTTGCATGACGAAAGCAGTGATTAAAAGTATTGTTATTGAAAGTCTAGTAAATTCAGACATTCTTCCCATGTCAGCGTTGTCTTTATGTGATAAAGTACCCCGTGAAGAAAATAGTAATGTTTCTGAACTAATTGAATTACGAAAGCTAGAGCTTAGAAAATTAGAATTAGAGCTTCAGATTGGGGAAAGAGCTGGCTTTAGTCAACAAAAACCGCGCTTTGATATTAGCAAACACGCAAAATTAATTCCTCTCTTTGATGAACAAGACCCCGAGGAATTTTTCTTACAATTTGAAAAGATTGCAGAAAGCTTAGACTGGCCTGAAGAGAGCTGGACTGTGATGATCCAAACAGCTTTTACTGGACAAGCTAAGAGAGTGTTCACTAATTTACCAAAAGAAATATGTAAAGATTATGATGCTGTGAAAGATATAATTCTTCAAGCTTATGATTTAGTCCCAGAAGCTTACAGACAGAAGTTTCGAAACCTAAGAAAATTGGAGTCACAGACTTACGTAGAATATGCTGCTGAGAAAGAGAGGCTGTTACAACGCTGGTTGAGATCTAGAAATGTTCAGACATTCACTGATTTAAGAGTTGATATTATTAGAGGAGTTTAAGCGTTCTGTCAATGTTGATATAAAATTGTATTTAGATGAACGAGAAGTGACCACTTTAAGTAAAGCAGCAATACTTGCTGACAATTTTTCATTAACTCATAGTAGACGCAAAACTCAGAGTTATCTTTGTGCTGGAAGGAAGTCAGGTGGTAGTGAAGAGTCAGGTGATCAGGGTGCTAGGCCTAGTAAAATTGTAAAATCTGCTCAAGGGAAAAATAAAATAGGAGTAGACAAGATTGATTCTTTAGTAACTTGTTTCTATTGCAAACAACGTGGCCATGTAATCGCTGTGTGCCCTAAATTAGCTGCTAAAAATGTCGCTAAGGGAGCGACTTCGCTTACTGTTGATTTAGTGGAAGAGACTGATGTTAATACTTCCCATGATGTTAAGTCTGACATTTTTGAGCCGTTTATTTTCACGGGATTGGTTGCAAGTGACATGTCCTCAGATAAGAGTTACCCTGTTCGAATTTTAAGGGATACCGCTTCTTCCCAGAGTGTATTAGTTAAGGCTTCTATGCCTTTCGTGGAGAATTCATACACTGGGGAATTTGTAGTCATTCGGGGTTTTGGAGGGACCGTCACTCTCCCGTTAGCGCGGATATTTTTGCGATCAGACTTAGTTGATAGATACATCACAGTTGGAGTTCACGACTTTCCTCTTCCTGTGAGCGAAGCAACTTTGTTGCTAGGGAATGACGTAGCTGGCGAATGCGTTGTACCTGACCCGATTGTACGCCCTGTACCGTCCGGAGTGAACCCCACAGAATCCCTCGAGAATGAGTATCCGTATCTCTTTCCCTCGTGCGCAGTAACGCGAAGCGTGTCTAAACGCATTGATAAGGAAACCTCTCCGACTAATGTACCTAATTTTGATAACTTGACAATTAGTTCCTTATTTAATGAGGAAGAGGGTAATGAGGAAAAACTTGATTCTGTGAAAGAGGTTAGTATTAGGAGTTTACCAATAACTCGTGACATGCTCATCGATGCACAACGTAAGGATAAAGAGTTATGCAAATATTTTAGTCTTGTTGACGATTCACAGCCACTCGATAGTATGTACTACTTAAATTCTGGTGTATTAATGCGGAAGTATAGACCTGTTGATGTTCCGGCAACAGACACCTTTACAGAGATTCATCAAGTAGTTGTTCCTTTTCCTTATAGACAGGATGTTATAAGTCTTGCTCATGATATTAATGGAGGTCACTTGGGAGTTTCCAAAACGTACTTTAAAATTCTCAAACACTTTTACTGGCCAAAAATGAAGAAGGATGTGTCATCATATTGTAAGACTTGTCATTATTGCCAGGTTGCAGGGAAACCTAACGAAGTAATTCCCCCTGCCCCGCTTCACCCCATTCCGGTAGTTGCTCAACCTTTTAACCATATCTTAATTGACTGTGTCGGACCATTACCGAAAACCAAATGCGGTAATCAGTACTTACTGACGATCATGTGTGCTACAACCCGTTACCCAGAGGCTATTCCCCTTCGAAATCTGACCGCAAAAAGTGTGGTAAAAGCTCTGACTAAATTTTTTACTCAGTTTGGGATCCCGAATAAAGTACAGTCTGATCAAGGTGCAAACTTTACATCCGGTCTCTTTCAACAAGTCATGAATGAATTATCAATTAAGCAATATTTGTCCACTGCTTATCACCCTGAATCACAAGGAGCCTTAGAAAGATTTCATCAAACATTCAAATGTATGTTGAGGAAATATTGTGTAGAGGTGGAGAAAGACTGGGATGAAGGTGTTCATGTGTTACTGTTTGCTATCAGGGAAAGCAAACAAGAGTCTCTCGGGTTTTCTCCATTTGAATTGGTGTATGGCCATGAAGTTCGAGGTCCCTTAAAGCTATTAAAAGAGAGTTGGGTATCAGAGGAACATGTGATGCCATTATTAAAATATGTCCATACTTTTAAAGAGAGACTACTGCATGTTCGTGATTTTGCCATGAAAAATTTGTTGAATGCCCAAGGCGTCATGAAAGAACAATATGACAAGAAGGTTGAAAAAAGAGAATTTGAGCCAGGACAGTTAGTGTTACTGTTTCTCCCTCTTTCGAAAAATGCTTTACAGTCTAAGTATTTTGGTCCCTATCGCATTAAAGAAAGAAAAGGTGATGTAAATTACGTTATAGAGACCCCAGACCGTAGAAGGCAGGAACGTTTAGTTCATGTAAATCTAATTAAGCCTTATCACAATAGAGAAGCAATGGTAGAGCATAAAGTGTTAGCTGTAATCTCGGAAACAGAAGAGTTTTGTATAGATGACCCAGTAAAACTAAACAACAGTGACATTTTGACTAATCTTAACTCAAAATTACAGCATCTGTCATCTCGTCAATCTGAAGAGTTGGTGCTTCTCTTGAAGGAATTCCGGTGTGTGTGTAGTGATGTCCCGAGACCCTGCAGAGGTGTGCAACACGATATAGTACTGATCGAGAACTCTGCACCCATAAAGCAGTCTCACTATCGGCTGAGCCCCGAGAAGCGAAAGAAGCTTCGGGAGGAGGTGGACTTCCTCCTTGCCAACGGACTTGCGGAGTCGAGCGACAGCGAGTGGGCTTCGCCTTGCCTGCTCGTCCCCAAAGCCGATGGTGGATTGCGTCTCTGCACGGACTACCGTAAAATCAACAAAGTGACTCGCTCTGATTCCTTTCCTCTACCGCGCTTGGATGATGTCATCGATGGTATCGGCAGAGCTCAGTTCGTAACAAAAATCGACTTGCTGAAGGGATACTATCAGGTGGAGCTGACGGAGAACGCGAGAAGAATAGCAGCTTTTGTCACCCCCGACGGTCTCTTCGAATACAAGGTCATGCCGTTTGGGTTGAGGAACGCCCCAGCAACTTTTCAGAGGTTGATTAATGGTGTCATTCGAGACTTGGAAGGTGTTCAAGCATACCTGGACGACCTCGTCATCACGTCGGATACTTGGGAAGAACACCTTGAGCGACTTCGAGCTTTACTCGCACGGCTCGCTGAGGCTGAGCTGACAATTAACCTGGCGAAGAGCGAGTTCGGGCATGCCAAGGTCATTTTCCTGGGTCACGTGGTTGGGGGAGGCACAGTGGCACCCGTCACTGCCAAAGTTGAGGCGATCTTGCAGTACCCGACTCCGACAGACCGCAAGTCTTTGCAACGCTTTCTTGGAATGGCTGGTTACTACAGGAGGTTCTGTCCGAATTTCGCTCACGTATCTGCCCCTCTAACAGACTTAATTAGCCCTAAGAAGCAATTTACTTGGACGTCAGAATGTCAAGAATCCTTTGAGAAAATACGAGCCATGCTTACGTCTCCTCCAGTTCTGACGTCTCCTGATTTTGAAAAACCATTCTGCCTGCACATCGACGCGAGTGACAGTGGAGCGGGAGCTGTGTTACTACAGGCTGGGCCCGACGGTGTACTTATGCCTGTCTGTTACTATTCGTGCAAGTTTAAAAAACACCAGAAAAGTTATTCGACTATTGAAAAAGAACTTCTCTCATTGTTAATGGCGCTAGAAAAGTTTCAAGTTTACTTGAATAGTGCGACACATCCAGTAACTGTTTACAGTGATCATAACCCTTTGAAGTTCTTAGATAAAATGAAAAACCGAAATCAAAGGTTAATGAGATGGTCTTTAATGATACAGCAATTCCATCTAGAAATAAAACATATAAAGGGGAAAGATAACGTCTTAGCTGATAGCCTTTCGAGACTATAGTGAACCAAGTTGAAATTTACCAATAAATTTCCTTTAAAGGTGGAGGTGTTATAGATGGACTAATTAGTGGCATTAATAAGTTTATTTGAATGTTACTCGTTGGTATATACATTTTCATTTCGGTATTCTTTATATAATTAAAGTCTATTAGGTGTTGAGATGACCCGGCAGAATGTTTAAACATGCACCTAGTAAAAGGTTTCGGAATCCGAACCGACCTTGGTTCAGGTGGCTGACTCGAGCTCACTCCTTGGCTGACTCGGACCGCACCGCCACCTGGCTTTTACTCAGCCACTCCGCCATATTGTTCAGCTCGAGTTTTGTGTGTCTCTGCCTGTGGTCACTCTCGGCTAAGTATATCATATTGTGTTTTACATATATTAGGATGTTTAGGTTAGGATTCTGTTTGTTTTTTCTCATCTATATATAATGTATTTTAAATGTACATAAAATAAATAGTAAATATAGTTATTTTGTTCATCCATGTGTTTACATTTTACCCGGACAAAAGTTTGAACTTGATATGGTCACCCGATAATACCCTAGACTTAATATGTGCCATAACATCGCTCACACCTGGTGACAGCGACGGGAAGGCACAGCCTTTGTTCAGCCTGGGACAGATGTGTGGAGCACCACCTTCTAGATGTTGTTTATATATCATCTTCAAGAAGGCATTTGACTTGGTGCATCAAGAATCGCTACAAGAGATTCTGAGACTTAGGGGAATTCCGACACGGATTATTGGCCTAATAGCAAGCCTATATAACAGTATTGAAAGTGCTGTAAAATGTGGTGGGGGCCTGTCGAACGTCTTCCTTGTTAATTCAGGGGTGAGGCAAGGCTGTGTCCTTGCACCAACACTTTCCAACACCTGCATGGACTGGATAATGGGCAGAGCTACTATCCAAAGTCAGTGTGGAGAAACACTGGGCAATATCAAGGTCTCAGACCTTAACTTTGAAGATGATGTTGCTATCCTATCTGAGTCCTTGGAGTCACTTGTGGCGGCTCTTGATGCATTTAGCAATGAGGCAAAGCCCTTGGGCCCAGAAGTCTCCTGGGCCAAGACCAAGATTCAGGACTTTGGGAGCCTGTTTGGGGAACCTGTTCAGTCATCCATGCTTGTGGTGAAGACGTTGAAGTCACAGAGAGCTGTGCTTACCTTGGTAGTGTGGTCCATATCTCTGGGCTGTCAGACCAGGAAGTCAGTAGACGGATTGGTCTGGCAGCAGGAGTCATGAACTCGATCAACAAGAGCCTTTGGAGATGTCGGTACCTATGCAAAAGGACCAAGCTATGTGTCTTAAAGGCCTTGATACTGCCAATTTTGCTCTATGGAAGCAAAACACGGATGCTATCTAGTGCCTAGGAGTCTCGTCTTGATGCCTTTTGTAACAACTCTCTTCGCTGGATCATAGGGTAGAGTTGCCAGAACCATGTGTCCAACCTACTGCTACACTGTGAGACTGGCATGGGACCTGTTACTTGCATAATCCGGGATCGCTAACTCAGGCTATATTGGCACCTAGCTCGTTTCCCTGTGGATGACCCTGCCCATCAGGTTGTCTCTCTGCCAGACAATCCTGAGTGGAGGAGGCCCGTGGGACGACCTAGGAGGTCATGGCTTGGGCAACTCGACGACACCTGTCGCGAGGAGTTAGAGATGGACCGAGAGCCTGCCTGGACACTCGCCATGAGTGACCCTCGTGGCTGGACGCCAAGGGTGGATGATGATGATGACATAGATATATTCATATTGATATATATATATATATATATATATATATATATATATATATACATATATACATATATACATATGTATACATATGAGTATATATATAATATATATTTATGTATATATTTTTATTTTATTTATATATACATATATGTATATGTATATATATAATGTATGTTATATATATATATATATATATATATATATATATATATATATATATAAACATACATTATATATATACATATACATATATGTATATATAAATAAAATAAAAATATATACATAAATATATATTATATATATACTCATATGTATACATATGTATATATGTATATATGTATATATATATATATATATATATATATATATATATATATATATATATATAATGTCTGTGTGTGTATACATATATATACATAAACATTTATATACGCATATATGCATATATATATATATATATATATATATATATATATATATATATATATATATATATATATATATGCATAATATATATATATATATATATGCATAATATATATATATATATATGCATAATATATATATATATATGCATAATATATATATATATATATATAATATATATATATATATATATATATATGTACATACATACATTTATTTATATACATATATTTATATACACAAGTATATACATATATATATATGTATGTGTGTGTATACATACATATGTACATATGTACATATATATATATATATACACACACACACACACACACACACACACATACACACACACACACACACACACACACACATGTGTATATATATATGTGTGTGTGTGTATAATGTATGTTTATATATATATTTGTTTATTTATTTATTCATAGAAAAGGTATGGATGAGAATGAGTATCTTTACAATACAATAAATGTGTTTGACCGGTTACGATTATATCTTCGTCAGAAATACATACATCAAAGGAATTACAGAGTGTCTCTTTCTCTCTCTCTCTCTCTCTCTCTCTCTCTTATATATATATATATATATATATATATATATATATATATATATATATATATATACATATATATATATATATACATATATATATATATATATATATATACATATATATATATATATATACATATATATATATATATATACATATATATATATATATATACATATATATACATATATATATATATATATATATATATATATATATATATACATATATATATATATATATACATATATATATATATATATATATATATATATATACATATATATATATATATATATATATACATATATATATATATATATATATATATATATATACATATATATATATATATATATATATATACATATATATATATATATATATATATATATATATATATACATATATATATATATATATATATACATATATATATATATATATATATATATACATATATATATATATATATATATATATATATATATATATATATATATATATATATATATATATATATATATATATATATATATATATATATATATATATATATATATATATATATATATATATATATATATACATATATATATATATATATACATATATATATATATATATACATATATATATATATATATACATATATATATATATATATATACATATATATATATATATATACATATATATATATATATATATATATACATATATATATATATATATATATATATATATATATATATACTATATATATATATATATATATATATATATACATATATATATATATATATATATATATATATATATATATATATATATATATATACATATATATATATATATATATATACATATATATATATATATATATATATACATATATATATATATATATATATATATACATATATATATATATATATATATATACATATATATATATATATATATATATATATATATATATATATATATATATATACATATATATATATATATATATATATATACATATATATATATATATATATATATATATATATATATATATATATATATATATATATATATATATATATATATATATATACATATATATATATATATATATATATATACATATATATATATATATATATATATACATATATATATATATATATATATATACATATATATATATATATATATATACATATATATATATATATATATACATATATATATATATATATATATACATATATATATATATATATATATATACATATATATATATATATATATACATATATATATATATATATATATACATATATATATATATATATATACATATATATATATATATATATATATACATATATATATATATATATATATACATATATATATATATATATATATATACATATATATCAGACATGAGCTGGCGAAACACCTGACGACTGTGACCTCCCACTCGTTGTCCGCATAATTGCTGCCGCGTCTTTGGATAGTTTGAATCTGCCCGATGCTGCGTTGATATTATTCTCCGTCGCGATGTAAGCAGCTTCCATAATTTTTCTTTTCTGCCTTTTCAGTCCTCTATGGACTATTTTCGCTTCCTTCTAGTTGGGTAAATGCCCAGCTGCATCTATGTTGATCCTGGTGCTGAACCCACGGACTGTTTCACCAAAGTATGCTGTATCCTTCTACTGCGGGGTATGCGATGTGCAGCACTGTTAGGGTTGCTTTCGGGCTGCTTCTTGTCTCGTACTATGTCATGTATCTTTTTTCTCGGATGTGCAGGCGATTCTCACTTTATTGCCGAAGTATCTGCTGATCGCCTGGGAAATGTTACATAGCGGTAATATGAGAAAATTATTAGAAGAGAGTGCGAGTCTGTATGTTTTCTGCCTTCTTTCTGTGGTTTAGTAGGAAGCCTCTGGGATATGTTTCATGAAAGAATTATATAGACATCCTCTGTGCTCTAAGGAAGAAGCCAATTACAGCACCAGATTTTGTCTTGCTGTTTTTGTTACTACTCCGTCCACAGCGGCATTTTGGTGAGAGCATAATTAGACATTGGCTATCTCGCGAGAAAATTTGCTTGCGAGAAAGCTTGCGAATAATTTAGCATGTCACCGTTCATTAGTGCATACATTCTGTCGCATATCATTAAATGTTGAATTCAGCGTAGTAGTTGAAATGATTATATTAATACCACGGCACTTTTGTCGCAGTATTGTTAAAACGAACGTTAATCTTCGTGTTTGTGACATTCTCTGTCTGAGCTATGACTCTTACCTGTGCGCT